CATCAAGGGATGGGGGAACTGGCCCAAGACACTTGTGAGAGGCCTGGGATTCAGTTGGGGGGAATGGGTTGAGGAAGGTGACGAGTGACGGTTGGAGAGGAAGGGGGGTGGGTAATGGTTCTGAGGAGGAGCAGGCTGGAGCAGAACAGAGTGGGAGGGTGGGAGACAGGTGGGCAGGAGGAAAGAAGAACTGGTCCAGGTACCAGAGAGCAGGGCAATGGGGTGGGAAGAAAATGGAGCAAGAGGGGGAATGGAGTAGAGGGGAAGATTTGAATGAGGAGGAGTGGGACCAATGAGGGATAAGGAAGGCAGGGGTGAGGAAGAACTGGCTGGGGATTGGGCTAATGTGGGGGGCCGAGGGGAGCCCTCCCCTAGTCAGCATCAACCACAGCTGTTATTTATTGAGCACTGGTCCCCACTCAAGCAAGCATTTATTGGGCACCTTCTGTGTGCCTGGCACTATGCTGGGCTGGATGGTGGGGACACCAGCTGCCAGCAGGTAGAGCAGCCTTCTTCACAGCAGGTTTCTGGTGTCCTACTGAGCTTGAAATGAGATGCATCTGTCAGGGATTGGGTATACAGCAGGCACACCATAAATGCCAAATTCTTTCTTGCGCTCTCGACAAGTTGTACTTCCACCCTCATCCCCTCCTTATCCTAACTTCTTGGGGCCCCACACCTGAGAGACAGCATACCCTCCTGTTGGCCCCCAACCCCTACCTCAGGCTTCCATTTAAGGAACAAGTTGGGCTAAGCCACTTCTAGCCTCTGTCAAAGGTCTCCCCATTACCTGTGGGCCCACTGGCAGCCTTGAGCTGCCTTCCATCTTGCTCTTTGTCTGTCAAGGACGTGGCTCCCTTTGCCTTCTCAGTTTTCTCTCATGCTGAGGGCTTCTGTCTTCAGCTCACTGGCTGGTCCAGCAGCCTGTCCCTGGCTTGGTGAGGGGTGTCCACCTGGCAGCCTGGAATATTACAGAGTCTAGGTCTGGAGGCTCTGGGCTCCTGTTGAGTCAGGAAATCTCAGGCTTTGCCTCTTACTAGCTGTGAAACCTCTTGGCCTCAGTTCCTATCCCTGTAAATGGGGTAAGCCTATTTTATGGGGCTGTTGTGAGCATAAATGCACCTTAGCTGGGGCCACACACAGTAGTGCTTATAATAAATGAATCAATAAATTTTAGCTGTTATGATGACTCTGCAGAGCTTTGGCTCTGTGCCTGCCTAGCACCATTTCCCCTTTCTTCCAGTTACAGCCTTTGACTTCCCTGGGTTCTTCTCCCTTGTCTCAGTGTGGTATGCTGGGGCATGTGACCTGATCCTAGGGTACTCTCGGGCCCATCCATCAGCTTCAGGGACTGGCTGGGGATGAACATGTGATCTACTCAGCCAATGAGTTGTTTGGGGCTTCTGCTGGGAATACTGAGAGAAAGCTTCTTGCTCCTTCAGTGGGATTTGAAGCCAAGTTACAGTCTTGGACCACAGAGAAGAAAGCTGTCTGAGAATCAGCCAACAGGTAGAGAGGGCAGCAACCCTGGAGCCAACATTTGAGCCCTTAGCGAGCTTTCCCAGAAGCCCACATCTGGGCTTTTCCTCCATCCATGCCATTTTTACTGCACACTACTATGTGCCAGTGGGCTGCAATGTACCATTCCAGTTGCTGGGATGCAGCCAGGAACAAGACACTCTTCACTTCACAGTGGTCACAGTCCTGCCCCAGGCCTTTGCACTTGCTGTTCCCTCTGCCTGGAATGCTCTTCCCCCCATATCTCCATAGCTCCCTCCCGCACCTCCCTTAGGTCTTGACTCACAGGTTATCCCCTCAGTGAGGCCTGCTCTGTTACAAATCACATGCCCACACCTTTTTCTTGACTCATTTCACTCCTCAGCTTCTGAAACCACCTGATACATTCCATAGAATATATATTTATTTTGCTACTTCTCCTTCACCCTCGCTAGAAGGTCAGCTCCACAGGGGTAGGGATTTTCAAATGCATTATTCACAGCAGATCTCTAGTGCCTAGAACAGAGTCTGGCATGGAATAGGGACTCAGTGTTGAATAAATAAGGGTCCCCAAAAGGACTGTCAGAAGAGGTGACACTGCCATTGTGGTTTAAATGTTTAAGGAACCCGGGTACTTGATGGCCCCTAGGAGAGGTGCACAGCAAGTGGCTGTTGTGTCCCATCGCTTCTCTTGTTACTTAAACGGAGTTGGATTCAGTTTTATTTTCGGGGGTGGGGTGGGAACGTGTTTCACTTTCAACCCTCAGGCTCCTGCGTTGTGCTTGGAAGAATGCAGTACCTGAGAGCTGCCCCTGGAGGGCGCAGGGAAGTTCTGTTGCTGCCCGTGGACATGCAGTCACTAGCTCTCTGTGAAAAGTGGGAAAATCCAGAGATGATGGTGACGATATGATGATGATGGTGGTGGCGGTGGCAATAATGGTATATGTGCTTCGAAGTCTGTTTTCATTTTCACAATAGCCCTATGACAGAGGTACCGTTTCCTAAATGAAGAAACTAAGGCACAGAGAGGTCAAGTAACTTGTTCGAGCTCCCTGAGCTGTAAGTGACAGAACCAGAAAAAAACAAGAAGAGAAAAGCCACCATTGTCCGACCATCCAGAGGAAAGGCAGGTGAGCTGCATGGCTGAAGATGCCTAGGTGGAAGGAATTGAGGAGGGGCCCTGGGGGAAGGGGCTGTTGTTCTCCCTTGGGGGAATCATTTCTCTGAGGTGTGAGCCCTCTCCCTCCAGCCCACTGGCTACAGGTTTCCCCAGCAGTGGCTTGGGGTCTTTTTAACTCTGGAACCAAATCTTGCCTGCACAATTGTCTGGTGAAACTGACACAAAGCTCCACCCCACCCAGTTTGAGGCCTGGAAGGCTTCTTGGAGAAAGCTGCATTTAATCAGATACCTGGGGGAGGAGGAGGAGTTAGGCAGGAGAAGAGGTAGGGGAGAACAGTGAGGTCAGAGGCCTGGGGCTGTGAGAGTGAGCAATCAGTTTCTTCCGTGGCTCTTTGCATGTCTGGAGTGAATATTTACCCCAAAGCAACCCCAGGCAAATGAACCCCAACTTTCCCAGCCCACGTTTTCCATCCTATGTACTCTTTCCTCTGAATATTCAAAAGACACATCCATCCATCACCCCCTGGGCAGAACATAGGCCTTATCTGCAGGCACATCTTGTAGTGACGTCTGGGGCCCTGTAGTTTCAGGGGGTGGCTTCTGGGACCGGAAGGGGCCTTGAGGGCTGCTGAGCTAGTGCCTCACAGAGGCTGGAGGTCCCCTTCTCAGGCCTGAAGACCCCAGGCTGGGAGCCCCAAACCTGCTGCATCTCAGGAGCCCCATATGCAGCCTACTTACCTTTCAGGTCCTGAGAGGCTGGCTCACAGGGACCTATTTTGCAACCAACTTTTCTTCCTCCTCTGTCTGCCCAAGTCGGGCTGTGGGGCTAGACCCTGCTCTGATCCCACCTGGCCACTTGGCATCTGTTAATTAACTTCTCTGGGCTTTACTTACCTTGGCTGGAAAATAGACTGAGTTGTGAATTGCTGACAATGTTGTCTGGCACATAGTAGGTGCTGAGTAAGTGCCACTGGGATTATCACTATAGATTACATGGTTCTGTAATGCTGTGACTTCTCTCCTAGCCTGCTGGGGCATTCTTCTCTCACTTCCCCAAGAGAGGAGGATCCAGTATGGAAACAAAGAAATTTTCTTCTGCATCCTGAGTTTCATGATGCTATGGGGAAAGGGAATGCTTCTAACAAAAACGGTATTGGGGGAAATCTATGTGAAGAAAAGTATCCCAGCCAGGAATCTAGAAAAAGCTGTCCCATGTGGGAGATGGAGGTTTAGGAGACTGGGGGATAGCAGAGGTGGGGGAGAGGGTCCCCAAGAAAGGAGACCTGGGCTGCAGCACAGAGGAAACACCAGGCAGATTGAGAACTGACCTCACCTCCCCCAGGTGGCAGGAACCAGTGAGGAGAGGTTCTTGGGGTCTCAACAGTGGGCCTAGGATAGTGCCACACAGGTCCCTGAGGCCCCACAGGTCCAAGAGGGCAAGAAAGTGGGAGTGAAAGAGCCCTCAGGGGTCTTGGGGCACTGGAGGGAGAGATGGGTGAAGTACATGCCAAGCCCTGGAGCTGGCCGTGCAGCAGAGGGGCTTTGCAAGCCTTTGAGGAAGCAGGTGTAAGTTGTGGCCACTTGGTCAGAGAGCGGATGGGTATCATGATGGGGTGGGCAAGTGAAGGAGGGAGGAAAAGAAGATGAGGAAGCGGTTGTGGCTAGAGCAGGAGGTGATGATCAGCCAGTGCAATGTGAAGGGAAGGTCCCAGGTGGGCGGGCTGGGACTGGGTAGGCCCTGGCGACACCTTGTCTCCATGTCTTGACATGACTGATCCCTCTCAGAACCCTTCCCTGACACCAGTGGCTGGGTGCTGTCTCCAGGCTGTGTGGGGCTCCTTTGGGGACACACAATACCTAGGCTTCCACTGTCCAGCCCTATCTCCCCGTTGACTCAGTTGCCCGTTCTTCTAGCCTGTGAGCCATTTGAGCCATCAGGGACAGGGCTGTCACCCTGAGCTTGGAACCTTCATGGTATGGCCCTACCTAGTAGGTTTCCCCTCTTTCTAGCTTTAACCTACCCGTGGAATAAATCAATCACTCTTATGAGCAGTTCAGCTGGGGGCAGGCCTGGGTCCGTGTCCCCTTGCGGGGGATGGGGGGAGTAGGAGCATTCCAGTTTCCAGTGAGTCCTGGGAGTTCCCCCTCCCACTGGCACTGGCCCAACCCCCAATTTGAGCACACACAGCTCCCCCTTTTCACCACCAGTTTGGGGGTGCTGTTGAAATCTTCACTTTTGCATGACCCCTGCCTGCAGCTAGCCTCAGTCTCCCCTGCTGGAGCAGATACTGCCTGGCCCCGGAAATGCCCTCTGCCCTCCCCAGAGCACGTGGCCTGAGATTTTCCTTGAACACAGCACTTTGTGACTTATACGTAAACTTCAAACACAGCCCCCTTTCCTGTCTTCGCATCAAGGAAATAGGTTGAGTGTCAGAGAAACCCGCTGCTAAGAGTGCACTAGGCCTTCTGGCCCAGGTCCCTGCTCAGCTTGGGCCTCGGTGCTGCCGCTGCTGTGTCCAGGTGAGTGGCCATCCTTTGGCCTTCTGTCTCTGTTCTGCTAGCATTGCCACCCCAGGGGACTCTGGGGCAGCTGGCAGAGGATAAATAAAATTCCTCCCCAGTGAGAAACGCTGGTAGAGCGTGACCTCCTTATACTTTGCCTGGGCATGAGAGGGGGTGGTTAGCTGGCGGGGGCCTCAGGCGCAGGGCTCAGGTTGCAGAGAAACCCAAGTTGGTTTCTTGGTCCCCCATTCCTCATTTAGAACCAGCCGTCTGTTGGCATTGGGGACCAGAGAACTTTCAGGTGGCCTGTTTGCCTGGACATCTATCGCACATCCCCAGGTAAGTCATCCTGGGTGGAGCAGTGGCTGGGTGCTGTCTCCAGGGATGGCCTGGGTCTGGTGGAGGAGGACAGAGTCAGAAAGGAGGCTTCCGGGAAGGACTAGGAGGGCTGTCAGACTGGGACCGGTGGTGTTCACTTAGAGAAGAAAGCAGACGTGGAACACCTGAAGGAAACAGCTCCCCTTCCAGAGTTTCAGCAGAGCAGAAGTGTCCCGGGGACACAGATGTCTGCTCAGTCCTCAACCTCCCTCTGGGCCCCATCAGTGTGGCATCCTTGGTTTCAGGAAGCAGAGAAACCTCCAGAGAAAGCAAATCTGTGCTCTGGCCCCAAGCCCCATGAATATGAGGGTGGCTCAACAGAGCTGTGAACTTGAACAACAAAATGCCAATGAGTCCCATGAGGGGTCCAGGGCAAGTTCGAACCGCCTGTAGTGTAGCTCAGGTTAAAGGGGACCCAGAGAGGTGAAGGGACAAATGGCTTGAATCCTGGTCAATCATCGTGTGTTCTTGGCAAGTTGCTTGGCTTTCTGAGCCTCGGTTTATGCATCTGTTACATGTAGATGTAAACACTGGCACCTAGTAGGTGCTTGGCTCCTGACTATTGGGTGAGAGGTTGGAAAAAGTGTTCCAGGCAGGAAAGGATCTTGACAGGAAGGAACAGGGGCTCCTGTGGTAGACAACTCAAAGTGATCTTTATTACTCTTGTTTTAGCCAGGGCAGCAAGTACACAATAAGTGCTTAATAAAGCTTGGCTGACAGATTAGGGTCAGGTACTTCTGAGGTAGGAAGTCCTTGGGTGCCACCTGCCAAGGCTCTTCTGCGAACCCAGAGCTGCTGCTCCCTTCTCTCACCTGTCCTCCAGCCTCATACACACACAGCCCTTGCAGGGACGCTGGGCAGGCAGACGGCCTGGCTGGTATTTGTGTGTATAGTCTGGAGCAGGAGGCCTAGATTTGAGTCCTGGCTCTGCCACCTACTGTGTGTGCTGTGTGACCTGGGCCAAGTCACTACACCTGTGTGCACTTCAGATCCTGAATTCACAAATCCTTCTCTTACATGGTTCTTGCAAGGATTGGGCGAATGAGTATGTGCCTGGCACATAGTAGGTGCTATATGAGCATCTTGCTGTAGTTGACCCTTGAACAGGGTGGGACTTAAGGGTGTTGACCTCGGCACAGTGGAAAATCTGTGTATAACTTTTTTTTTTACTTTCTTTTATTTTTATTTTTATTTATTATTATTATTATTTTATGGCTATAGCACCTATTCTTCCTAGGTGGTCTCCCATCCAAGTACTAACCAGGTCCAACCTTGCTTCCGAGATCAGACATTGGGCTTGTTCAGGGTGGCATGGCCGTAGACCATGGACCGTGTGATCCACTGGGGCATGAACCCAGGACCTTCTGCATGTAAAGCAGATATGCTAACTGCTACACTATGGAACCACATCCCTTGTGTATAACTTTTGACTCCTCAGTCGTCGCTCCTCTGTGCCCATGGCATTGGTTCCTGGACCCCCATGGCAGCCCAAGTCCCTGGTATAAAATGGAGTAAAACAGTGCATACAGTTGGCTTCACAAATCTGCGGGCTCCCATCCGCAGACTAAAAATATAATTTTCGACCTACAGTTGGTTGAATCCTAGGATGCCAAACCTGGGAACATGGAGACTGGCTGCATCCTCAATTATAAAAATTCCACTTACAAGTGGACACGTGCAGTTCAAACTGCGTTGTTTCAGTGTCAACTGTACATACTCTAATGGTTATTACTAGCTCAGGTGGTCTCAGGCTCTGGACTTAACAGCTCCTAGACTCTCCTAGGACTGCTACCTGCTGATCACTTCCGGCCCCACCCTGTAGAGTAGGGTTAAGACAGTGGTTCTCAACCAGACCCAATTTTGCCTTCTCCCTGCTGCCAGAGGACGTTCGATAATGTCTGGAGACATTTTCGGTCATGACCCAGGGGATGTTAATGGGCATCAAGTGGAGATAGGCCAGGAATGCTGCTAAACACCCTACAATACACAGGACAGCACCATGCTGTCCCCACATAATACCAGGCTCTGTCCTCCGAACTCCTCCCACCTTTCCCTTCTTTATGCCTCCTCCCTTCTCCCTTTCACAGTCACAGAGCCTGACATGCAGGAAGAGTAAGCTCCTCTGCACACCACGAATGTTTATTGGGCAACTATTGTGTACCTTGCTAGTATAGGCAGGAGAACAAGACAGGGTCTCCACTCTCACAGTGCTTGCATTCTATTATGTCATATAGGACATGTCAAAGATCACATGTCGACAAGTCGATATATATATCCAATTTTTGTTGGTAGAGAAAGAAGGGGAGGCGATTTTAGAGAGTGGGGTCAGGGAAGGCCTCTTGGAGGAGGGGGTGATATTTAGGCAGAGGCCCAAATGAAGTGAGGGATACTGGGAAAAGAGTGTTCAGGTAGTAGGAACAGACAGTTCAAAGGCCCTGAGATTGGATCATGACTGATTTGTTCAAGTGACCTCAACAAGTAACTTAAGGAAGCCTGTGTGGCTGGTAGGGAGGGAGTGAATGCAAGAAAGTATTGAGGCAGATTGGGCAAGGCTTGGGGGCTGCCAATGAGGGCTTAGGCTTTAAACCCGAGTGAGGTGGGAGTCCTGGAGCAGAAAAGGACATGGTAGCACAAGGGTGAGCTAGGTCTTGTGCTTGGTGCCCAGTGAGCCATCTGTCGTGGAATCCCACAGTCCCCCAGTGTTGGGCTCACTTGCTGGCCCAGTTTTTCAGTGCGGTCTGACGAACTTAACTCACTGCTCAGGACCACACTTGCTACTACAGAGCAGACTTGTGATTTCATGATTTAAATCTGATGCCCTGATTAGGAAAAAGATATGACGGAGTCTATCGCCATCCATGGCACCATGCTAACTGCTGTCCTCATAACTTAGAATGTAACCTAAGTGGCATGTTGTTGGCTGACAGGTGCCTATGCTGCCTCTGTTGGTGGAATAGGGGCCCCCACCATGGCTGTAGACTAAGGAGCAGGAAACATGGCTTCCAGAGGGCCTTGGGGTCTTGGGAAGAGGACTGGGGGTCAGTGAGAATAGGCATGGGCAGTAAGGGGCTGGGCCCTCATTTCGGCAGCACCTTGAGTGGGGACCCTTCTGATATCTGAGGGTGGCATGTGGAGCCTACAGGCTTGGCTGGGCCACTCCCATGCCCTCCCGGCAGGTCCAGTTGGATCGATTTCCTCCATAGCCTGCCTCCGCTCTGGGCTCTCATCATGGGCGTTTAATGGGGGCTTTTGATGCCTAGAATATGTTGTGTGCGACATAGCTGTGGGATTAAACAAAACTGGACAGCGTCCTTCTAGCAGGTCTTCTCAAGGTCTTTGTTTTGTTTTTAGATTCTACCCATGAGATCAAACGAGTTTGTCTTTCTCTGTCTGATTTATTTCACTTAGCATAATGCTCTCAAGGTACATGTATGTTGTCGCAAATGACAAGATTTCATTCTTTTTATGGCTAATATTTCATTGCATATATGTACCACATCTTCTTTATCCATTGTTTATCAATGGACACAAAGTTGCTTCCATGTCTTGACCATCATAAATGATGCTATAGTGAACAGAGGAGTGCATATATCTCTTTGAATTAGTGTTTTCATTTTCTTTGGACAAATACCCAGAAGTTGAATTGCTGGGTTATATGGTAGTTCTAATTTTAGTTTTTTGAGAAACCTCCATACTGTTTCCCCTAGTGGCTGCATCAGAGCCTTTAATATGCTAATATACTTTTCAAAATGTATTTGATCACTTGACCCTTTTTTCCTCTGCAGCATGTTTGGGGCGTCAGGTCTCTCTGGAACAGATATAATCTAACTCTGCCTTTACCCGAAGAGGATACTTGAATGTTGGAATTTCGGGCAGATATGTCTGTCCAAGGCTCTAAGGTTTCCTCCTCCTGTGGCAGGGCCTGGGCTGTGAGAACAGAAAATCCCACCGTCTCGGTGGAGCTGCATACCTGGGGAAGGCCAAGTCCGGGTTTCTGAACTCACAAGATGCTCCTGAGCTAAGGGGAGGCTGGTGTGGTCTGCCCAGGCAGGACTGGGATGGGGGTCTTGTGGTGGGCCCATCTCTTGGGAAAGCCACAGAATCTGAAGGATACAGCTCATGACAGAAACATCTGGTCCTCCTGCTCAAGCCCAGGTTCATAGGAAGCTGCAGACTGGCCCAGCTCCTCTGAAAGCCGTTGCCATTACTATTGTCATTATTGGCAGTGAGACAGGGAGCTGGGATAAAGCTGTGAATACACAGGGAACACTTCTGTCTCTGGGACACTTTGGCCTTGGGTCCAAGGTGGCCAATCACGGCTTATGGCCCTAGGGGCCAGCCTCTCCCCACCCCCACAACTGCATGAACCCCCCTCTGGCTACCCAAGCTGCACCTGTGGCCACTGTGGGGAGGAGCTTCTCAAACTGTGTTGTTGACAGTTTCCTGCCACAGCTTCCTGCCCCAGAGACCAGATTCACTACCCCCAATGGTCCTTGGATAGGCCCCTACTTTGCTGCCTTGTCTTGTGTCCTGCTACTCTATGGGAAAGGCTGTATGAATCTGTGAGGCAGGAAAGGCTGGAACTGGGAAGTGAAGAGGAATGGGGAGGGTGTTCCAAGTGGAGAGCACTACATGGATGAAATTTGTAAGTGAACGTGAAGGAAAGATGATAGCTCAGACTGACGGGCAGGGGGAGGACTGAGGAATTTTGTTGTCTCAATGAAGTAGGCAGGAGGTTCTTGAGCAAAGGGGCCCTTGTAGAATTGCCTAAAAGCAATTTGCCCTGAGCTCAGCTTATGTGGGAAACAGACTGTGGGTTTCAGCCAACGACAGGCACCATGTGCGTTAGATCTGGATCTCAGATTTTATTAATAGAAACAGCGGGTAGAGATCAAAGGAGGTGATGGCAGCACAAACGGACCTCAGGAGCAAGATCTGGGCTAGACATGCAGGTGTGGAAGTGCAGTTAGCCACAGGCAGGATGGCCCAAGTAAGGGGACCGGGTTTGGGGAAGGAGTGAGAGCAGGGACCATCAGAGAGGGAGGAAGCAAGCCAGGGAGTCGTCAAGGACTCAAGAGGAACATGATGTTCAAGCAGGAGAGTGTCAGCAGTGCCCCTCGCTCAGGGTATCCAGCATCCAGGAGGGCACTAAATGCTTGTTTGTGTCCACTTGGTGCTGATATGAGTGCACCCCCACTGAGCCTGGAGAGCAGCCTGTGTGTTGGGGGTTGACTCTGAGGCTGGATGAGAGGGCGGGACTCAAGGAAGAGGAACAGGCGTGTGCACAGCCCTCTCCTTCCTGTTTCTCATATTTTTAGTGCCCGGTGTGTCCATACCTTCCAGCTTCTTTATCCCCCTTTAATTTAAAAAAAGAAATAAGGTATAATTTACACACAGTAAAATTCACTCATTTTAGTGAAAAATCCTGTGAGATTTGACAAATACATATAGCCCAGAAACTACCATCTCCAAGATATATACTGTTCCCCCAATTCAGTGGTCCCCAACCTTTCTGGCACCAGGGACCAGTGCTCCTATGAGAATCTAATGCCTGATGATCTGAGGTGGAGCTGAGGTGGTGATGCTAGCGCTGGGGAGCAGCTGCAAATGTAGATGAAGCGTCACTTGCTGCCCGCCGATCACCTTCTGCTGTGTAGCCCATTTCCTAACAGGCCACAGACCAGGAGTTGGGGACCTCTGCCCCAATTCTGTTATGCCCCTTTATGGTCAATCCCTCCCCGCCCCCCTGTCACAGCCCCTGGCGGCCCCAATGTGCTCCTCATCCATAAGTTTGAACAGAGTCAGGCTGGAGGGAGTCAGTGGAAAAGAGAAGGCTAATGGAGGAAGTGAGCAAAGCTGTTCCAGCCTCAGGGCCTTTGCACTCGCTGTTCCCTCTGCCTGATGTGTTCTCTCCTACTTTTAGAAGTTAGCTCCTCATCCTTCAGCTCAGCTCAAATGCTGCCTCTTCAGAGATGGTGGCCATCCCAGCTACGGTGACCTCTTCTCTTTTAATATCACGCTATTTCCTTTATAATGCTGATCTCCATCTGTAATAATTTTGTCTCTCTCCTTGTTTATGGCATTCCCTCCCCCTCAGACTGCTATCTTCAGGAGGGCAGAGACCATGTATGCCTTTTTCATCCATAATTCCAGCACCGGCTTGAAACACAGTAAGAATTCAACACGTTTGGGAAATGAATGAATGATTTCAGGTGCTGGTGTGAGAGGGCCCGTAGGCGTGTCTGGGCGCTCAGCACAAGGTCTCTGAACAGTCAGAGGCGGGTTTGGGACTCCCAGATCTGGGCTCAGCAGGCTGGGGCTCCTCTCCAAGTTGATTCTAGCACCAAGCAGGTTCTGCAGGATGGGCACGGATGCTGCCCAATGCGGCCTCTCCCACTGCCTCTGGGCCCATGAATGGAGCTCAGGAAGGGACGCCAAGGCCCTGACGTGCCCCCAATCCCGCTCTGGACTCGCAGGGACTGGTGAGGTGCACAGACGCATACCCTACGCGGGGCAGCAGCGGCGATGCCGGACCCCGCAGCACACCTGCCCTTCTTCTACGGCAGCATCTCGCGCGCCGAGGCCGAGGAGCACCTGAAGCTGGCGGGCATGGCCGACGGCCTCTTCCTGCTGCGCCAGTGCCTGCGCTCGCTGGGCGGCTACGTGCTCTCGCTTGTGCACGACGTGCGCTTCCACCACTTCCCCATCGAGCGCCAGCTCAACGGCACCTATGCCATCGCGGGTGGGAAGGCGCACTGTGGACCCGCCGAGCTCTGCGAGTTTTACTCGCGCGACCCTGACGGACTACCCTGCAACCTGCGCAAGCCGTGCAACCGGCCGTCGGGACTCGAGCCGCAGCCCGGGGTCTTCGACTGCCTGCGGGACGCCATGGTACGCGACTATGTGCGTCAGACGTGGAAACTGGAGGTGAGAACGCGGGGCCGGGTATGGGCTCGGGGAGGGCAGGGCCTGAGTGGGTGGGGCCGGGGTGAAGAGCAGCAGCGGGCAGGGCTGAGTGCAGGGCCAAAGAAGGCGGGCCCTAGGGGGGCGGGGCTGGAGTGGGCAAACCCTTAATGGGCAGACCCCTGGGAGGCGGGTCGGGCTAGTGGGGGGGGGCCAGGGAAGGGGGGGGAGGCGGAGTCCTGGGATAGAATGGCCAGTGGGGCGGTGGCCTGTGATCTTTGACAGCGGTGCACAACTACCAATGTCAGAACTTTAAGCTGGAGCAGAGCTTGGGTTCTGGGGCTCGGCTCTGGATGGGCGGGGCCTGGATGTACTGGGGAGGGAACATGGACTTGGGAGGATGGCTGTCCTCAACAGCCTGAATGACTCGTCGCCTGTGCTGCTGGGTGGGGACCACGATGAAGTGGAAGAGGGTTTCTGTGTCCCCGCAAAGTGCAACACTTACAGGTGTCCTTGACCCTCCCTTCCCTAGGGAGAGGCCTTGGAGCAGGCCATCATCAGCCAGGCCCCCCAAGTGGAGAAGCTCATCGCCACCACAGCCCACGAGCGGATGCCTTGGTACCACAGCAGCCTGACGCGTGAGGAGGCCGAGCGCAAACTCTATTCCGGCTCGCAAACCGACGGCAAGTTCCTGTATGTGGGGCTCGGGATCTGGGACTTTGGGGCGGTGAGGCAGGGGCAGGTCTCAGTGTGCATGTGCTCCATGTGCAAGTGGGTAGTGCGCTTCTGCGTGTGCAAAGGGCCCTTCTGTGGGAAAGGAGCGGCAGTGGTTAGGACCCAGAACCAGACTGCCTGGGTTGGAATCCAGCATCTGCTACTTACCAGCCAAGGACACTGGGCAAGTAGCTGATCTTCTGCCTGCCTCGATTTCCTCTCTTTCATTCAACAAATATTTAGTGAATATCTACTGTGTGCCAGGCGCTGTTTCAGGCACTGAGGACTTAGCAGTGGACAAAACGGACATAAATCTCCGTCCTTGTGGAGAAAGTAGACAAAAAAGGGTGAATCAATAAAATATAAAATATGTCTGTTGGTGGTAAGTGCATGTGTAGTTGGGGTGGGGGTTGAGATTAGGTGGCCAGAAAAGGCCTCTCGGATCAGGTGGTTTTGAGTAAAGAACTGAAGGAGGTAAGAAGTGAGCTGTGCAGCAATTTGGGATAAGGGTGATCCTGGCAAATGGGAATGTCAATTACAGTGACCAGGGGAGTAGGTTCTTGGCAAGTTCAAGAAACAGAGAGGAGGCCAGTGTGCTTGGAGCTGAGTAAATAAGGGTCAGAGAGGGAGGAGGTGCGGTGACTCCCGCTGAGTGCCCTGTGGATAAGAGTAGTACCTCCCCCAGTGTCTGTTATAGGATTGCATGAATTAATATGTGTAAAGCAATAGTATAGCATCTGGCATGTACTAACATTGTAGTAAATGTTAGCTTAGCTGTTATTGTATGTGGGCGAACATGTGTATCTGCATGTGTCTGAGCCAAAGTTGAGCCATATGGCTGTTCGTGAGTTTGTTATTGTGAGACTGTCTATAGCTATTTAAATAACCCTGCTGGGTATTTGAAAGCCTTGCTGGCTGCTGCTTTCTGGTCTGGACACAGGTCCTTTTGTATAATAGATGTTATCCAGATGTCAGCTGAAGTCACTCAGGCCTTGAGCTGCAGAGTAGCTTGGTGTCTGCCTCTTTCTTGTGACCTCAGGAATCTGGTGCCCTCCTGAAGGTGTCTTAACTTCTCAAGGCCACCCTTCTCATGGCCTGAGTTCCAGCCTGGCTGAATTCCTGCTCTCACCCACCTCTCCTAGGGCCGTTTCCTCTCCTGGGCCAATCGATGGGCTTCTTCCTCAATTTCCTCATCTCCGGGCGGTCTTTGCACATGTACCGAATTCTCACAGGATGCACGTCCCTCCACAAGATTCTGCTGTCAGCTGATGAAATAATTTTTTACCCTGCCTAAAAGTCTTAGACTAAAATTGTGCAGTAAAGTTTCCAAGGTTTCTGAGGGAACTTTTGGACACATGTTACGGATCATGCTTAGCTGCAAGGAAGGCTTCTGAACAACTTAAGAGAGGGCTGTTTTCTCTTAGAGGGTAAACTTAGCTTTGCTTTTATATCAGTTAGCTTTTGCTATGTAACAAACCGCTTTAAGACTTACTGGCTCAAAACAACAGTTTCTTACTCCTCATAATTCTGAGTCAGCTGGGCTGTTTTGGTTTGGGTCAGCTGGGCAGGGACTGAATAGATTAGGATGGCCATGCTCACAAGTCTGGCTATGGCCCAATGTCCCCTGGGTGGTGGGGATGAGTTGGCCACAGCACTGTCATTGTCCAGCAGGCTAGCCTGGGCTTATTCAGTGGTGGTGACTGCAGGGTTCCTAAGAATAGTCAGAGAGGGAAAGTAACAGTACATGAGCTCTTTTCAAGCCTCTGCTTGCATAATGTTACTGGTGTCCTATTGGCCAAAGCAAGTCTCATGTCTAAGACTAGAATTACTGTGGAGAGGGGGACTACCCACAGGACAGGAATTAAGGCAGCGGTTTTGCATGTAGTCCTTCACAGAGTTGGACCCAGGAGGCCATAATGGAAGTGGTGGGCATCTCACACTGGGAGTTTGGGCTCCTACTTTCCTTGTGGACTGTAAATTCCAGGGCAGAGCCTGTACTTAGTGCTACTAGAGGTTTCTGTGTTCCCATGCGTAGTGAGGGCTGGTCCTTGTCCAGATGTTGCCTATCTTTTGCAGACACCGCATACTCCCCGCCACAGCTTGGTACCCGCTAAGACATTCCTAGCATCTGGTCCTGTGTCTCTCACACACTCATATCCCACTCAGTCATGCACAAGTTACCCCAGTGCCTGAGTGTCTGGGGGACTCTCTCCTAGCCAGACACAATGAAGGGAGGTTGTATGACTTTCCTGTCAGCGTAGCTGATTCCCGCCTCGTATCTGCTCTCTCCTTCGTAACATGTCATTTCCTCTTTCTTGGTTCCCACAGTCCAGGTTTCCTCCCCTGGTTTCATGTCAGGTCCCTAGTTCAGCTTTTCATCATCTCATTCTCTGCTTCCTTTCTGTCCTGGTTTTTCTTTATCCTTCTCTCTTCTCTTTCCTCCTTTCCTCTGTCCCTCCTTCCCACCCCAAACTGTCATGCACATGCACAGACAATGATTCCACCATCCCACTGGTGTGAAAAGTCTCCCCAGATTTCCCAGGTCCCCTGAAAATATCCAAGAGTCATGGGGGAGGGGTGGAGGGAGTGGGTGGAGGGTGGATCAGGTGGGATCCTGAGCCCCACCCCAGGACAGCTATGATCTGTTTCACGTTTTAAGCTTCCATGGAAGATGTTTGTCAGAGAATTCCACTACCCAAAGGAGAAGTTTTGCAAAGGTTTTGCATTCATACAGCAGAATTTCTGTCAGGCTTCGAGTTAACCAGTCTTTTGAGGTAAGAGGAATCTCAGGAGTACCAGGGCCAATGGCTTTGAGTGGCCGATACTCTGGATCATGGGGCCCCCAACCCTCGGGCTGTGGACCGGTTCGGGTCTATGGCCTGTTAGGAGCCTGGCTGCACAGCAGGAGGTAGACAAGTGAGTAAAGCTTCATCTGTATTTGCAGCCGCTCCCCAGCGCTAACATCACTGCCTCGGCTCCGCCTCAGCTCATCAGGCATTAGATTCTCATAGGGGCACTGGTCCCTGGTGCCAAAAATGTTGGGGGCTGCTGAGCTCAATACCAAATTGGCTTGAAGGCTCAGAGGCAGGCAGGACCAGCATCAGCCATGAGGTTGAGGCTGAGAGAGCTTTGATCTGGGGACATTATAGAGACTGAGGTTGGTGCTCAGATTCAGAAGCAGTTGGAACAGTGACATGAGGGACAGTGACTCATGCTGGGGAAATACAAGAAATCAGAATCAACTGCAGTGTGCCAGACTGCTAGAAAACTAGGCAAGGTGTGCCTCGGGCAGAAACCATCGTGGGTCCTTCTTGCCATTCCTGTAGTTGGTAACTGCTTTCTCAGGATGTGGATCGTTAGGAGCCAAAGGTCAAAGCTGTAGGCACAGAACCTCACGTGGGCAGGGGTGACAGGAACATCCCTGGTAGATCACGAGCCCTGGGACATGCCAGGAGCTGGTCTAGTTCTAAGATCAGCGTGCATAATGTGATAGAAAGACTCATGCCACTCAGGCCCGGAATTAAGACCAGGGCCACACGTACCACTACCCACAGTTCAGAGCTACTAAAGAATGACTGGCAGTGTTCCTGACGATATTGGCTGCCAGAGCTTGCCTTGCTTCTGCAGAATTGCAGCATTTGTGCTTCACTTCAGCACGAGATGAACTTGACCCCTGAGAAGGGCCTTCAAAAGTATACTGTTAAGTCGTTCTTAACCTCTTCTGGATCATGGACCCCTTTGGGAATCTTACTGAAACCAAACCCCTCTAATAACCCCCCCAAAACATGTTTACCCCAAAGGTTTTGCATACACTTATATGAGACCATGGTTGAACCCGAATCTTATGCTCGGAGCCCTTTTTAGGTTAAGAACTTCCAATTTAATTTGGCTTTCTCATTTTACATGTGAGGAAACTGAGGCACAGAGAGATTAAGTGGCTGGCTCAGGGTTGCACTGTTAATCGGTGACAGAGCTAGCTGTCAGTCCTACGTAGCAGCTAATGGTACAATCAGAAGGGGACTCCTGGCTCTAGCCTCAACCAGCTGTGCAGTTTAGGCCAGAGCCATAATCCTCGTGCCTCAATCCCTCATCTAAAAAGTGATGATTATAATACTAGTACCTGCCTTGTGGGGAATACTGTGAAGATGGAATGACAAATATATGAAGAATTTAGAACCAGTATCTTAATGAATCCTGGCTCTTTTATTATCAGGTTCTATATATTCTTTAAAAAGTGGAGATGCAAGTTGATTTCTTTTCCTGAACCTCTAGCTTAAGATCAAGTTTGAACTGCAAAGACAAAGAACTGCTACCACCTAGTGGTTTTTTGGTAAATAAAGTAGAATTTGTGCCGTTGAAATACATGTAGTGACCACACCAATGTCTGTACCTAAGTGGTTATTTTCTGGGAATCAGTGGCTTCTCTTATGAATTCACATGTCTCTTTCCAAATAGAGTATACAGTTAGCCTCTCCTGTGCAACAAACCATCCTAAAATGTCGTGGCTTGGAACCACATCATTTATTCACTGTTGGTTTAATAGGTTGACAGTTTGGGCTTAGTTCAGCTGGTGTTTCTTCTGCTGATTTCTTTTGGGCTTGCTCCTGTGGCTGCAGTCAGTGGAGGGTAGGGGAGTTCAGGGTATGGGATGGTCTACGATGGCCTCACTCGCATGTTGGGCTGTTGGCAGGCTGGAGCTCCTTGTTCTCCTTCATGTGACTTCTCCAGTGGGCTCACTTGCACTCACGTTGAACCATGGTATTTGCAAGGTTGCCAGGAAACACAAGAGAAGGCCCCAGTGATCAACCACTTTCTAAGCCTCTCCTTGCGTCATGTCTGCTGAGGTCTTATTGGCTAAAGCAAGTCACATGGTCAAGCCTTGATTCAGGAGATGCAGAACTAGACTCCATCTATTGGTGGGAATAAATACTCAATGTTGTGGCTGTTTTTTCTCAATATTCCAGGTTTGCTGGTGAGTTCCTGTTGTCAGTTCAGAACTTAAGATTTGGCCTTAAGAGGTATTTTTACTTCTCAAAAGAAGAGAAATAGTCTTTAGAGACCATAACAGTAGGCTGGCCCACTAGCTTCGTTATAGAAGTGCCTTCCATCCTGTGGGGCATTTATGTTTCTCACTGTGATGTGGATTTCTCTTCCTTGCCCTTAGGTGCTCCCCACCATCCCCTACCCTGGTTTCCTAGCTCTTCAGGCATCCCTGACTATTGTGGGCTAGTCTGGGAACTATATCAGCCTTCACTGCATTGTTCTCTGGGAAACTTGCTGTCCTGGAATGGATGAGACATTCGCAACCACCCCTCTGCCCCTTGCTCAGGTTTTGCCATGGTGATAGGGGACATTTCTGTCCTTTTGGCCTAAGGAAGCACTTGATTGCAAGGTGAGCTCACATCTGTCTTGTGCACCACTGTATCCTGCCTTAGAATAGTGCCTGGCACGTGGTCAACACTCATTATTTGTCCAGTGAATGAACACCCACGGCAGAGCCCACGCCTAGTCTGAGAGTTCATACCACTTGTGGGCCATCCTCATGCTATTTCAGACTGGGTTCTGCTGGCCAGCTTTCTGTACTAAGCATAGTTCCTTAGATTATTGGTCAGCCGCCTACAACTGCCATAGGGCCTGACATTCCCAGGACCAGCTGCCCTCCCTTCTCTGTTGGATACCTATACTTAACTGTGGATTCGAACCTTGTGCTGGTGACCCAGTACAAAACTGTTTGGTGGCAGATGTTGATTGATGTCACTGTGGGATGTGAGGGTGCAGGCATCAGGCTCTAAATTGGCTTCTGTGTATGTGTGTGTGGGGGGAGGTCAGGTTGGCCTGTGTGTGTGTGTACATGTGCGTGGGTAGATAGGTCCTTACTTCACAAAGCACCATCTTTGAGGGACTCAAGTCTCATTCATAGACATGGAAGATTCATTTATTTTGGCAAATTCGCAGCAGAGGAGAATCAAAGGTCTCATTCTGTCAACGGTCGGTCTGTTAGGATAACTGGCAGGTCCATTGTGATGAAAAGATGACTTGTTCTGATTTTGACAAAGATGTAGCATGAACCAGCCATGGAGATGTGCTTATCTTTGTTGCTCTTCATGTAGAAGCGGCTTTCTCTCCTCAAGAGAATGGTTCTAAATCTATCTGTGTGGACCCGTGTGTCCCCTGTGAGGGGATCTGTGTCCACCATAGATGGCCAAATAGCCCTCCATGGGTGGCCAAGTGTCCCATGTGGAGGCCTGAGTATGCCCTGTGGATGGCCAAGTGTTCCCCCATGGATGATTAAGTGTTCAGCTGTAGGTGGCTGAGTATCAGGCCATGCAGGGCTGAGTCTGTGCTGTGGGAAACCCAGTATTTTCCAGTGCATGGTCACATGTTGGCCCTCGGTTGACCATGTCTCCTGTGAGCATTGTGGTTCTCCTCTCTGTCCCTGCTCCTGTGCCCCACTGGCCTGGAGGTTAGCAGGTAACCTGGAGGTTAGCAGGTAACCTGGAGGTTGAGTGGGGCCTGACCTTGGCTCCCCGACTCAGTCCCTGCTGCTTCCTCATGAGGCCCTAGGGTGCAGAGCCCACAGGGTGTGTGTGTGTGGGAACTGGGGCCCAGCAGGGGGCACAATGGGAGGGGCCCAGGTGGTGGTGGGGGTGACATCTCCTACTTACCCCTGCCAGGCTGAGGCCCCGGAAGGAGCAGGGCACATATGCGCTGTCCTTGATCTATGGGAAAACCGTGTACCACTACCTCATCAGCCAGGATAAGGCAGGCAAATACTGCATACCTGAGGGGACCAAGTTTGACACGCTCTGGCAGGTGAGCCGTCTGCCACCCTGTTTAGGGAGATGCTGTGGTGGGGTGCTCAGCTCCTGGGGAGCAGGGAAGCTTGGCTCTGACGCTCTCTCCACAGCTGGTGGAGTACCTGAAGCTGAAGGCCGATGGGCTCATCTACTGCCTGAAGGAGGCCTGTCCCAACAGCAGTGCCAGCGCCAGCACAGGTGAGCGGGGCGGCAGGGGGAGTAGTCAACACTTGTTCCAGTGTCAGTACAGGTGAGTGGGGCAGTGGAGAGTGACACCTGTGCCAGTGCCAGTGCAGATGAGTGGGCAGCAAGGGGGAGCGATGCCAGTACAGGTGAATAAGACAGCAGGTGTCGGGGGGTGACACCTGTGTCAGTGCCAGCACTGGTGAGCAGAGCAGCAGGGGGCACCATCTGTGCTAGTGCCAGTGCAGGTGAGTGGGGCAGCGGGAGCTGGGGTACAGGCAATGCCGACTCTCACCCCCTCATCATCTTTTCTGCTCCCCTAGGAGCTGCTGCCCCCACACTTCCAGCCCACCCATCCACGTTCACTCATGTGAGTTAGCTGGCATCTCAGAGTTGGGGCCTCAGGGATGAAGGTGGCGGGTGGGCCATGGATCCTGGGGTGGAGAATGGGGCTGCCGTGGAACAAAAGAGGGTTCTCTGCAACCCCCACACTATCCCTGGGAGTCGTCAGAGGGTGTGGGTCTCATGAGAGGGGCTGGTGTCCCCTGCTCGGGCCCTGCTGACCCTTCTGACCTCATGACCTTTATCCTCAGAGGCGGATTGACACCCTCAACTCAGATGGATACACCCCTGAACCAGGTGAGCTGGCAGAGGCAGAGGTGCATGGTGGGGTTCACACCAGGCTAAGGGTAGGGTCCCTGGCTGGCTCCGGATGTGCTGGGGGATGGACATGGGCCTGGCCTGGTCAGTGCTGGTTGGCTTGGTTGGCTCTGTGCCTACAGATGTCTGCATGGGGCACACCCCTCATGCCCGCTTGTATGCATGTACATGGGGCGTGACATGCAGGGGAGAAGGCCTGGCCATGCCTGGGCCAGTGGGGCACAGACACACATTTGTTAAGCACCTACCAGCTGCTAGTCACACTCCCAAGTTCATGTGCATGTGAACTGGTTGGATCCTCCGACATAACATAGGAGGTAGTTATGTTAATTATTCTCATTCTGCAGATGAGAAAAGAGAACTATGAATTTCTAAGTTCATGTAGCCAGGCAGTGGTGGGGTGGGACTGAACCCTGGCACACAGGCTCCAGAACCCACATTCCTAAACACCCTGTTGCCAATCTCCTGTGTTTGATGCATGGTGCAAGCCTACCCATGTGTGTGCTCAGAGAATACAAATGGTTGTATGTGCTTAAGAGGCTCGCCTTTGGAGCCCTCGTGAACATGGCTGTGCATTGCCTCCGTTGACAGGGCAGGCATGAATGTGGGTGCACACATATCAGTGCACACACAGGCACAGATGTGTGTGCTCCAGCGGCATGCTAATGCTTACTTGTGCAGACATGATTTTAGGCCCCTGTTGTACAGAGATGTAGGTGGGAGTGTGGATACATGGGCACACGTGGTTACATATGAACAGAGATGCACACACCTTAGAGTCCATTTGGATGTGGCTCCCCGATGCACCAAGAGATGGGACCAGAAGTGCACACATGCACACTAACACATGTACCCCCGTGCCCGTTCACGGTCTGGGCGGTACACCGCTGTCCAGGATACATGCCTGTGGGTGCCGATGCTGCCCTGCACTCCCTGTGTATCCCATCCCTCTCCCTCCTCCTGATCTGGGAGGGCACGCCTGTATGTGTGCCCAGCGTGCTTAGCGTCCCCAGACAAACCGCGGCCAATGCCCATGGACACAAGCGTGTATGAGAGCCCGTACAGTGACCCCGAGGAGCTCAAGGACAAGAAACTCTTCCTGAAGCGTGAGAACCTCCTCATAGCTGACATCGAACTTGGCTGTGGCAACTTTGGCTCAGTGCGCCAGGGTGTCTACCGCATGCGCAAGTATGGCTGCCCCTGCAGTGGAGGGGGAACCACTGGGGTCGGGCAGAGCGGGAGTTAGGGCCAGGGAAACAGACCCTGGGAGAGGAGGTTGCCTGAGGATTCCTGGGAGCACTTGGGGACAAGAGCCGAGAGTGAGTGAGAGAAGCAGGCTGGGACAGGGCAGCCTGGGCTGGGCTGCAGGTGCAACAGAGGCACCCCGGAACTTCTGCTTTGATCCGTCATTGGATACAGGCAGCTCCGGGGAGGGTATAACTTTGAACACAGTGGCTCTTTTGGGGCAGGGCAGTTCCTACTGAGGATTCCTGGGAGCACTTGGGGACAAGAGCCGAGAGTGAGTGAGAGAAGCAGGCTGGGACAGGGCAGCCTGGGCTGGGCTGCAGGTGCAACAGAGGCACCCCGGAACTTCTGCTTTGATCCGTCATTGGATACAGGCAGCTCCGGGGAGGGTATAACTTTGAACACAGTGGCTCTTTCGGGGCAGGGCAGTTGGGGAGGGACTTGCTGTGTGCTGCCCCAGCCAACACTCTGGGCCGCTGCGGACTGAATGTCTGAGCCCTGCAGGAAGATCTGAGTGGCGAGCCACAGTGACCACTGCACAAGTCCCGGTGGAAGGAGGCAGTTGGGCGGTGAGGTGCTGAACGGGCCCTTGCTGGCTCACGCGTGTACCTCCTGCACGGGTGTGTATCACGGCAGGAAGCAGATCGATGTGGCTATCAAAGTGCTGAAGCACAGCACGGAGAAGGCGGACAAGGATGAGATGATGCGTGAGGCACAGATTATGCACCAGCTGGACAACCCCTACATCGTGCGGCTCATTGGCGTCTGCCAGGCTGAAGCCCTCATGCTCATCATGGAGATGGCAGGTGGTGGGCCCCTGCACAAGTTCCTGCTGGGAAAGAAGTAAGCCTGGGCTGCTGGCGGTTGGGCCTGGGGCTCATCCTGCCCACCTACAAGTGCACGTACATTTTCACATGCTTGTAGACACACACACGCACACCTACCCCTTGCACACTTTGACACCCACACTCATGCCCACAGGGCAGAGCCGTTAATAGTGTAGATGGCAGAGCCTGACATCCAGCTCTGCCACTACTCATGTGACCCCAGGCAGGCCTCTTAATTCTTCTGGGCTTCAGTCTCCTCAGTTGTACCGCAGATCGCAGTGATTGCAGTGTTTACCTCAAGGAGCCCTTGTGAGGGTCAAATGGGTAGATGTTTATAAAGTGCTTAGAACAGCGGCTGGCACTGCTTGTAAGAGCTAAGTAGTAGCTCTAAGTATTATTGTTATTGCTACCCAACTCCCTTGGCCAAAGTCATGGCCCATGTGAAATTAAATTGACTGTCTTTGACTTTAAGCAGGATGGGCAGACTATATAGCCCATGGCTTGTTTTTGCCCTGCATGGTTTTGCATTTTTCAAGGGTTATAAAAGTAAAATACATACTCACACACACATATGAGGATATGTGGCAGAGACCACATGCAGCCTGCAAAGGCTAAAAAATTTACTAAATTTACTAAAAAATTTTTCAGAAAAAAATTACAGATCTCTGATCTAAAGAAATTGCAATTTCATTTGTGTTCCCTCATGGCTGAAACTCTAACCCTCACAGACACAATCTCTTATACTCACTGAGGCCCATGCCTGCCAGCCCACACTCACTGGTGTACATGCCTTCACAGTGGGCCCAGCGCATGCATTCAGTCATTCCACAGGTGGCAGTGGGCCATTTCTCTGTGACAGAGACTATTACATCGTTTGAGATTCATCAGCGAACAAAAGAGACAAAGCTCTCTGCCTGAATTCTGGTTGGGGAAGAGAGGCTTTAAATAAGAATTATAGTACAATAAAGTATGGAGTATGTCAGGCGATGGATACTATGGACAAGGGGTCAGCAGCCTCAGAGTGGGAAGTGAGAAGTGAGAGGGTGAGGTTCGTGCAGACTGAGGGAGGCAGCCAAGTGCAGGCAGAGGGCACAGCCAGTGCAGAGGCCCTGAGGTACATGTGTGGTGGGGGAACTGTGAGAGGGCCTGTGGCTGGAGCTGATGTGGGTGGGGAGGCGACAGGCAGACCATGCAGGTTCTTAAGGGCACAGGGAGGTCTTGGACTTTGACCCCGAGTGAGGTGGGAGACTTGTGAGGCTGTGAGCAGAGAAGGGGTGGGACCTGACCCTGTGGGGAAGACAGACTGTGGGGGGTGAAGGTGGAGGTGAATTTTCTGGTTGGGGCCAGCAATGATGGGGGCCGATAATGGGGGCTGGACCAGGGTAGCAGAAGCTGAGAAGCAGGAGGGTTCTGGAGGGATTGTGCAGGCAGGGCTGCCAGGCCTTGCTGACAGATTGGATGTTAGGTGTGAGAAGAGCTGAGAGTAAGGCTGGGGTTTCTGGCCTGAGTAAGTGAGAGGATGGAGCTGCTAGACGAGAGGGGATAGGGGAGGGGAAGAGGCGGCGTGTGTGCGTGCGTGTGCGTGCGTGCGTGCGCGTGTGTGTGTGTGTGTGTGTCTGTGTGTGTGTGTGTGTAAAACAC